CTGGCCATTTGGGGGTGGGGTGGGAGACCCCTGCTCCTTTGGCACAACTTACTTCACAGGGTTGTGGTTGGTATGGAACAAACAAATTAATAGGGGGATCCAACTTTTGAGTCGTGGAGGAAAGGGAGAAATAACTTGTTGTTTTTAATTTAAAATGTTCCTGTAGCTGTCCATCTTATAACCAACTCTGGGCGGCTCCCAATCGAAATCCAAAAAGTGTGCAAAACTGGGTGCTTTGTCCTGGGGGAAGCGGGGGCACAGCCCAATCAAGCCCACCTCCACAGATGAGGGAGGAGGGGAGAGGGAGGCTTGCAAAAGACCCGGGAAGCAGTTGCAATGGAGGGGGGGGAGGGAGAAAGGCACCCCCGCCCCAATTTCCAGGCTGTGTACTACCAAAGCAAAGCCCAGGAGGTACCGCGCATGCGCACTACAGCAGCCAGCGGCTCCCTATCTGCTAGCAGCAGCGTCGCCGCCCCAATGCGCATGCGCGCCCGTCCGCCGCTCATCAATGGCTCACCATTTGGCACCTCCCGCCACACGTCCCCTCAGGCCTGGCTCAAGTTAAAAGGCCCCGCGCGAAGAAGAAAGAGCGCTTTTTACCTGCCGGGTACTCGACGTGAGTCAGAGACACCGAATTCCACGGAACGGGGATCGAGCACTCTCCGACTGCGGCCATCTTACCCGGATACCGGGCCGGGCGGCCACAGCCAATCGGCCGGCACACACGGGGCGGGGCGGCCAATGGGCGTGCCTGCGTGGCCCTCTCGGCCAATCGGGAAGCTCGCCAGGTGTGGCCTCCCACCAATCCTCGAATACTACCACACCCCCGCGGCCTGTCCTTCCCTTGGAATCAAGCAGCCAATCACAAAGGCCCGGTCCGTAGCCGGGCCCAGGTAGATGAGAAAGCCAATGGCAGGAGAAGCGGGGCGGAGCGGCCGTCGACGATTGGCTGGCTCACCTCGCCAACTGAGAAGTTGCTCGGTGGGCCCTCCCTCCCTCGCTGCCTCCTCTCCTCCCTCCTCGCGCGCTCCCGCTGAGAGCCAATCAGATCTTCGGGAATAGATGGCGGGCTGAGGTGCGATTGAATGGGAGCGCGGTGCATTGTGGGGCCGCATTCAGCCTCTGTTGTGACTCAGGGCTATTATGGGCCAGATGGTGTCCTGTTCTAGCCATGCCTTAACCCTAGATTGTTGAATAAACCACAGTTAAGCTAGGCTTAAGCTACTGCTAAGTCCTCTTTACAAACCACAGTGCTGGTGCTCTTCCCAACTTTTGCAACTTAAAACCATTTAAAAACTCCCCCCAAATAGGAGGAATATTAAGATATATTCATCACCTTGAGTTATTTGTAAAAATAATAAAGGCGGGATATATATATCAATAAAATAAAATAAAATAAAATAAAAACTCATTTTCTCTGATCTCTGAGCTTTGTCAATTTGAACCGGACAAAAGCTCTGCCCTCCTTTTGTGTCTTCTCCATCTGCTGTGAATTCATTAAAAAAAAATCTGTACAGCCATGACACAAACATTCAAACCGTGAGATTTTAGTCCTATTTCAAAGCTCTGCAATAACACTGCACAAAATAAAAGCTTACTGAGTGGGCTAGAGAAACCTCCATCCTTGTAAAACACGGGGGTGGGGTGGGGTGTTGTGTGTGTGTTCACACCACACAAAGACTTCAAGGATTTGAAACGAGAAGAAAATTCTCTCTTTTTTTTCCCCCTCGTTTCATCCTCTTCTTCCGCGCACCATGTGCACAAGATCAATTCCCCGGAGATACGCAATACAATTAGCAGGCAAGCCAAGCCAGAACAGAGCAGAAGAAAACAAGATGCAGAAACAATAAAAGCAAATTACTTTGGGTCGTTAGCTATCATATTATTGATCCCAATGGAAACGGGGAAAAAGTCGGTTGTTTGCCAGAAGTATTTAGTGTCATTTTTTTTAAAAAAAATTGCTGAACTAGGAGTCAATTAATCCAGTAAATATACAAATGGGCACATGTGAGATGGCACTGTAGAAAATCAAAGTAAGAATTTCATCGCCATCAGTCCGGAGAGACCATGCAGAGGATAAAATGAAACAGAAATTCTATTTAATGAGATCCGCTTGGCTGGATTGCACAAGGAGAGAAACCAAGAAGCTTTACATACATTCTTCTAGTGTAAGGGATCACTTCCGTTAAGTTTAGTGGATGATGGGCTTTAATGGGAGCGCACGCAAAAGTGGAGACAGCTTTAAAAAAAAAAAAATCTCCACCACTTCCATTAAATTGAAAGAGTGGAAAAAGGAGAACACTCTGGACCAGTTTAATAATAAAGGAAATATTTATTTGACTTTTTTTTTCAGTGCCAAAAGTTTTAATAGGATAGAAAAAAATTAGTTGCAGAGGGGAATGAGAAGCATAAGAACATTGCGGAAACGGGGAGAGAAATAAAGTCCAAACAACCAAAATAATGAGGCACAAAATTCCATTCAACTCCTTCCACGTAATATTCTGGTAATATTCTCTGAAATTGAAGTTTCCTCTTCTTTTAACAAAAAGGAAGGGGTTTCCGGGGCTTTAGATCACACTTGCTCAACCTTGCCATCATTTAAGATGTGTGGATTTTAACTCCTGGAATTCTCCAAGCCAGCAAACTGACTACAGAATTCTGGGAGTTAAAATCCGTACATCTTAAATGATGGCGAGTCTGAGCAAAACTGCTTTAGATGTTGATGAACTATATAGTTCCCAGAATATTGCTCTCCCTCCCACCCACCCCCGCAACTTCCCATGGACACATGATGTTTAAGATTTAGCAATATCCAAGGACATAATCACCATCTCTCCACCACCCTTTGATTTGCAGGCAGGAAAGTCAACTTTTCCCAGGCTGAAAATGTCCAGATCTGAAGGAAAAGGTGGCCATGATGGTTGGGAACTCTGCCGGCTACTTAAAAAGTGCCAAGATCACTTGTCAATTGTCACACCAAGTGAGCGAAAAGAGCCGGTCGATTTGGGTACAAGAAGTTGCCACCAAATGCTCAGAGTTGATGGGAGGCAGGGTTTTTGATCAGTCCTGATCAGTTGATTTCTGTGTTACACAAAGTTGATCTTCCAGCCCAGAACTGATCCAGGTAGATTCTGATCAATCTGATCAGCTGATTTCCATCTTGGTTTTCCATCCAGCAACAGGCCCGAGCAGGCTCATGTAGACCACACAATTTACCACAGCCATCTTCATCCACAAATAAGATTACCCCACCATCCCAGGTCCAAAACTGGGGGAGGAAAAAACCCCGACAACTGAGGACTCCGTGGGAATTCCTTCAGGGTAAATTAGGCACCACAAAAAGTTGCATGAAAAGTTGATGGCTTTCTTAAGACCGTTAATCCATGACTTGTATGGGTTGGAATGCAAGGGGCACCTTGGAGCAAACGTTCAACTTCGGAGCAGGGTTCAAAACCAGTATAAATCTGGGAGGAATGATTATGACACTTGATCTACATTCTGGATACATTCTCATGCTCCCAAAAAACTCTTCATTGCTCCTCAGAATTAAAAAAAGGAAACAACTGTGGCAATCACCAAACTGTACTTTTGAATTTGTCCTTGCAAATTGGGAGTTTTTTTCTTGGCCGAGATTAATCTCCTTGCCATAGTTCGAAATGAGGTCTCATCAAACAACAGGCAGCCAGATCAAATCAAGCGAAGCTAAAACTTAACACAAATATTTAAGTTCCAGCATTCCCATTCAACATTCAGAGTTTCTTAATTCAAAACTATAATTTGTTATAGAGTTGATATAAAAGGCTGCCTTTGGAACCTGTTGCAAGAAATACCCATGAAGTTAAAATATTTCCCCTTAAAACACCCAAGATGCAAAAGAGAAAACTCTTTCGTCCATGTTGTATGGAAAACTCAACAATTCAGCCTCAAAGTGTTGACTTGTTCGAAAGTCAACTCAACTGCTTCAATAATAGTAATTAAAAGGAGATTTAAAAGTGCCTTAGCCAGTGTAATGAGCAGTCTAAGATAATGTCTCTCAACCGTGGCAACTTTTAAGACGTGTGGACTTCAGCTTCCAGAATTCCCCAACCAATATAGGTATGCTGGTTGGGAGATTCTGGGAGCTGAAGTCCTTATACCTTAAAAGTTGCCAAGGTTGAGAGACACTGCTCTAAAGACCGTAATCCACCCTGTTGAAAAATCTCAGTGCATCTACAACATGGAACATTCTTATCCAGTGGGATTTCATTTGTCCTCCCACCCAAGGGGGGCTACAATGGGAAGCTTGGGAGTTTCAGTTGACCCCTTAAAGTAAGACTATCTCAAAATTGCATCCCACCATCCCTAAGCAGACTGGGGTTTTTTTTAAACTTCATCAAATCTGGCCCCAAATGCTGCATTTCAGGATCATTTTAATGCAATCACTACATCTCACTATCCCCCTTCTTGATTCAGGATCAATGAATGCGTGGCCAACAAAATGCCACAAGGTCAAGTTGAGAACATCAATACTGCAAAATCCACAATCAGGAAGTTGGGAATTTTGTGTTCCAATTCCGCCATCTTTGGGAGAAAGAAGGTGCCTTCAGATTGATGGAGAAATTCATCAATACGGGATTGAAGTTTTGCAAGTTCATAAATAAATATTTATTTATGAGCTTGCAGGACTTCAATTCTGCAAAATCTACAGTCAGGCAGTTTTGAATTCAATTCCCCTCCATTGCTGGGAGAAGGTGGTACATTCAGATTGACAGAGAAAATTCCCGATTTTTGGAATATGGCTACAAAGATGCCGGAGACAAGAATAAAATTGGAAGTTTATCTCATCTATTAAAGTGGATAAGCTCTCAAGCCAATTGGTGTTTAGAGTAAAACATTTCTTGCAAGACTTCACTGAAATACATGATCCTTATCAGAAGGCATAGTGAGATCCAACCTACCTTTCCTTCTTTTCTTTTTCCTTTCCTTTCCTTTCCTTTCCTTTCCTTTCCTTTCCTTTCCTTTCCTTTCCTTTCCTTTACTTTACTTTCCTTTCCTTTCCCTTCCCTTCCTTCGTTCCTTCCTCATCCATCTCCTTCACAGAGGGTCTTCCATCTGAGACCATCATACATGCGAGAATCTTTAAAGAAAGGTTATTAAAAGTTTGTCTGTACATACAGACCAGTGTTTTTCACTTGAAGATAGGTGGACTTCAGTTCCCAGAATGCTCCAGCCAGCATGCTGATTAGAGCATTCCAGAAGTTGAAGTCTAGACATCTTAGAGCAATGCTAGCTGGGGAATTCTGGGAGTTGAAGTCCACCCATCTTCAAGTGGCCAAGGTTGAAGAATGCCGATATAGACAACAATAAAATAAATTCAGTTAAAAAAAAATTAAATCAGAATTTTCCAAATCAAAGGAGCAAAAGGTCCCTACAGGTCTCCCCCACTTGTCTTTCTTTTCAAATTTCACAGGGAATAAAGTGTCCTTGTGCACCAATCTCACAACAGGAATATTAGACAGGGGCTCAGCCACAATTTATGCAAGTATTAAATAACTAGAAACAGGCATGGCTGACTGGCAAAACCTTCCCGCCTGGATAACGCTGGACACATCTGGGGCTGTTAAACAGCCTTTAAATCGGTGTTTTTCAATCATGGTGATTTTAAGATGGGTGGACCAAATCCCAGAACTCTCTGTTCTGGCTGGGGAATTCTGAAGAATTCTGGGAGTTGAAGCCCACCTCTCTTAAAAGTTGCCAAGGTGGAGAACCGCCATTCAAAATTGCTTTTAAGTTAGACAATTCAAATAGAGAATGTTTTGCTGCCGTCCATCTTCAGCCTCCGAACTACAGAAGCCAGTCTCCTCTCAAAAAAGGAGAAAACAAACCCATTCATAAGCTCCAAACTGTCTTGTCTGAACAAGGAGGTTTAGTTGAAGCTACTGGAGGAAACATCATCATTTTGCAGAGTCCCATTGATCTCTGGAATGGTCTCCACTCCCAAGTAGCTGAGCAGGATGTCACTGCGGCGGCGTGAGAGCTGAAGGATGTCTTCGGCTAATAAGTTCACTGTTGTATACCTTACAATGTCCAGGTCAAACATGTCTTTCAGATATTGCAAAATCTGGTGCTGGAGAAAGAGAGCGAGAGAGAGAGAGGGAGGATTATTTATTTATTCTACGGCACGTTCACATTTTGATAAAAACACAGAGGGGATGAAAACATGGTATACAAATATAAAATATTATAAATGTATGTGTAGACCACAGATATAATTTTTTTGCTTCATGTTTTTTGCAGACTGTTCATCCTGGCAATCTCCTGGCTGTATCACATCGCATCATATTAAAAGAAAGAGAGGAAGAGGGATAAGGATGAGCTGCCAGGACTTTGTGGTTTCGAGCCATTTAAAAACAAAAATCACATAAGGATTTTTTTTTCTCTTTAACTGACTGCATATCTTTTGCCATTTTAAACTCTTCTGGATAGATAGATAGATAGATAGATAGATAGATAGATAGATAGATAGATAGATAGATAGATAGATGGAGAGAGAGAGAGAGAGAGGATAGATAAGATAGATAGACAGACAGACAGACAGAGAGACAGAGAGACATGAGAGAGAGAGAGAGATTTTAAAAGAGCACTTACTTTGAAAAAGCTGCAGACTTCAAAAAGCTGTTGTTTGGGCCCCAGGAAGCCAAAAGCCAGGACAGGGCTGACGTGCTCCGATACGGAGTAAAAATGAGAAATAAAACCATCCGGAACCTGAAACAGAAACGGAGCAGGAACAGATGGATCAGTTGCCACTTTTGATTTAAAAAATTAAACACATTACAAAACCACACATATCACACACAAAAACTGCACTAAGTTTAGCAGATCCTGCAAGGAACTGAGGAGCAGGCTAGATCAGTGCCCGGGGACCACAGGTGGTCTGCAAGAAAATTGTGGTGCTCCGCAGAGAAATGTCCCCCCCAAAAGCAATTAATCCAGGCTGCATGGGAACACAAGGCTTGCGTTGCTTGCATTGCAAACAACATGAGGTAGTGAGGGGAGGGGGCAAAGGGCGGAGGGGGGGAACTTGCCCCACTCTCCCCAAGTGCCTGGCCTGGCCACCGGGCTGCTTCTTTCCGCTTCTTTCTTCTTCTGCTTTTGGCTGCACGCAAGGAAAGCAGCAAAAGTCTTTCTTTCTCTCCCTCAAACTCCGCCAGAAATGAGGCATCCTGCTCCGTGAGGCTGCGCCGTCAGACTCATTTCTGGTGGAGTTTGGGGGAGAGAAAGAAAGACTTCTGCTGCTTTCCTTGCATGAAGCCAAAAATCTCTCTCTCTCTCTCTCTCTCTCTCTCTCTCTCTCTGTCTCTGTCTCTCCCCCTGAGAACGGAGCTGGAGGCGGTATCCTGCCATCCCAAATAAAGAATGATTGATTGGTAGGAAAACGGGTTGGGGGATTTTCCTGCAGACTTTTTTGGGGATTTTCCCAGGGTCTTTGCTGCTTTCTGCAGAGACCCTGGGAAAACGTCATCAAGTCAAAATTCACATTAGTGGTCCGCGGGATTTAAAATTATGAGTTTGGTGGTCCCTGAGGTCCCAAAGTTTGGCGACCCCTGGGCTAGATGACCACCAAGGGCCCCTCCCGCCCTCTCCCTCATTCTCACATACCATCAGGAGCCGCCTCTTTGCCTTCAAAACTGACCAGCAAGCGGTGGCGAGAGCCTGAAATGAAAACAGATTATTTTGCCTCCCGTCTATAAATTGAGTTCGCCTTTCCCGTAAGAGCCACTAAGAGAGGCAGTCCTCAACATACAGCCATGAACTGGGAACTCAGCGTTGGGCTCCCACCCACCCCCTCTCCTCGCACCCCCACCCCCCCCCGAAAATGCACCGTCTCCTTGAAGCTGTCCGAGAGCCAGCGGTTATGCAGGATGGCCACAACTGAGGACGGCGGGTTCTCCAGATCTTCGAAAGCATCCATGAGGATGAAATCCAAGGCGACATCGAAGAAATTCATGCAAACCACCTGAGAGGCGGACAAAAGAGACGGTCCAGGTTTATTCACCCAAATCGCAGCAAAACCTCCCTCATTCTGCCACCTCCAGGATCCAACCGGTCCTAGTTTGATTCATCATATCATTATAGCGCCCGCCCCCCAACATCTTGGACTATTTTTTGGGGGGGGGGGTGTTGTCTTGATGAAGTTGGGGTGAATGAACTGGTGACAAAGCTGACCCCAAAGCTGGATGGAGACAGAAGATTTTGCCCGTGAACGTTTCAAAAGGACAAAGAATTCTGATCAAGTCAATCTGGGATGCCACCACCAGAAAGGCCCTGTCTCAGTACTACTGGGAGTCCTCATTTAGTGACCACAGTTGTCTGGTGTGAGTCCAGCCGATGCCAGAAGCTCTGGTTCCTTATGCTGCCTAAACCTAAGCCACGGCTGTCTTGTATAATTTTTTTTTTCAAAACAGATGCAGGAGTATTACAGAACTTCCAATTAAATCCCCGTGGTTCCTTTGAGCAGGACCAGAGAGAAGACAAGGTCCCTGTCAGAAGCCCGACACTTACCCCTCGCCCTTCCAGTTCCTTCTGCGTAGTTGGCCAAGTCTCCTGTCTCCGTGTGTAGTGCAGCATCTCACCGTAGCTTTCAAGGAAACCCTTTGTGTTCTGGAAGAGTAGAAAACCAGAGGAAACCAACCCAAAACTCAGCAGGTGAAACCAGCCAGACTTCCTTGTTGCTTCTCAGTCAGTTCCATGAAGTCCAGAGGTTCCCTCAGATCTAGTTTGGCTGATCTCCCAAAGACTTAGGTCTTTGTAAACCACTAGAAGATCTCAAGATGTTACTGCAAAAACAGTTGTCACGCCACACTGAGCAGACCCTGTGGTAGGTTCCAACCCACCTCCTTGGAGACCCATGTAGTCTCCTCTCAGCACAATCACACAACCCTTTCATAGTTGGCCCTTACCTTCTCAGCCTTGGTCATCAGCCCCATCACCATCCGTTTACCCACCTCCCCAAAAAACGTCTGGTTGTTGTCCACCATCAAGAGCTCCTGTGAAGAGATCAACCCATTAGAAACCACGGTGCCTTGGATGGGAGTTGAAGTTCAGCACTTCGGAGGCTTCGTATGTACCCACAGAGAGCTCCACAGGGACTTGCACCCAAGCCAATTCTTTCTGGACCAGGTACAGCCGTAAAGACAACATCCTTCCACTCCCAAATGGCCATTCCTCAGATTCAGGGACTCCAGAAAGAACAGGCACCAAGGCAGGGCTGGCGCCAAACCTTAAGGGACAACTAGCTTCATGGGAGAACCAGCTTCAACATTTCTAGAGAAGACCAGCTTTGAGGTCTCCAGAGCAAACAAGCATCAAGAGAGAGGGCTACCTTCAAGATCTCCAGAGGAAAACAGTTTCAACGTCTCCAGATAAGATCAGCCTCAAGAGAGGACTAACTTCCAAGATCTCCAGAGCACCCACCTTAAAAGCTTGTCTGATGCAGTGAAGCTTTGCCAGGAAATCATCATCACTGCAGCACCCCAAAAGCTCTGTACTGGAAGAGGAGAAAGTTTGCGGGGTAGGGTGAGGAGAATAGATAACATCTGGACCAGCTTTCCCAACCTGATGCCCTCCCAACCTTGTGATTACAACTCCTGAAAGATGAAAGCCAAGGAATCTCAGCTTCACCCACATACTCCTGGGATCCAGGAGAATCAGGAACTCTGAGAACTGTGATTTCAGCATCCTCCAAATATCTCAGGATTTCAACTCCCACAATTCTCTTACCTATAGAACCAACAACTAGGAACTCTGAAAACCATGCCCTTGATACATCTGGAAGTGTCTAACTAACGAAAGTTGTGTTGGCTACATTCAGTTTGGCATAAGGAGTAAGAATAAGCAACAAGCTAAAATCTCTCCATGAAAACCCAAAAGTCCATCAGATCCATGATGACCTTGATTGCTACCAGGGGAAGAGAAATATCCTAAGGCCCACCTGCCCCAAGCTCACCGAAAGGTCCTGCATAAAACCAACCCATCCTTCACCAGCTGCAATGCTTCCTGATAGGCAACCGCTGGCCTAGAAGGCTGGTATGGCGTCTTCTCCATTTCCAGGGAGTCAAAGATCTGAGAGAAAAGCAGAAACCATGAGATTTCTTAAAACATTAGAGGCCCCCCGAGAGGCTCATCAAAAACATATCACAATTAGAAACCAAGCAAAAACAAGCCTGATATTTGTAGCCTTGCCTACAAAGATCTTAAGACTTTTCAATTGGGGCAGTCCTAGGAGACTGCTCGGAAACTTCAACCTTGAATATTGATATACAGGATGTCATGTTTTCCAGGAAATTTCCGGCCATTTAAGAGCCACATCGTTCTAAGAAATGGACAGCCATAGAAATATAATAAGTAAACAAGGAAAAACAAGGTGCAGGGTTCAAATTACCTCCGCGGCAGAGAAAAAGGATTCCTCAGAGGTCACACTATCTTCCTCATCATCTTGTTGACGCCTTAGAGACTCTTCGGTCAGCGGGAACATCAGAGTTTGCTCTAAGAAAGAGAAGAAATTTTTTTTGAGGTGTAACGGTGGTTTATTTGGGTCACCGGCAGCATAAAACCAGGAATACAACAGCCATCCTCCTGAAACACAAACCAACCATTTTAGAAACCATCTCAGTGCAAATAAAATACAATGGAAATAAAATGGTTGACATAAAATTGTTAACGTAAGAGTGAAAGGTGATCTTTGAGCTTGCTTGTTTTCTTGCATATGTTCCTTTACCTGAACTAGGTAACATCATCAGTGCTAGTAAGGAGTGGGGTTTGTTCTCAGTTTATATTCTGGGGGCTTGCCCAGTCTGTGTGGGTAGGGGAGGTCTTCAGAGATTCTTTGGTTGGGCTGTTTATGGTTGGCTCTTTGGCACTTTGTTGGTTGGGGTATTGTTTAGTTCTTGAGTGTTGGTCTGACCTTGAAGTTATCTATGCTGATCTGGGTGCTGATTGCTGGTGGAACAGTGCTGGAGTCTTTTTTTTGTTCCTTTTTGGGTTGGGTGATTGTCTCTTTTGCATAATCTGTAGCTATTCTATGTGTCCATTGATGGCTAATTAAAGACCCAAGCACCTCTCCACCAGCAATCAGCACCCAGATCAGCATAGATTAACTCCAAGGTTAACATCAGAGCAACAAATCAAGTAAACAACCCCCCAATCAAGGAACTGCCAAAGAGCCACCAGTAAATAGCCCAACCAATTGGAAAAGTGATAAGATACTGACAGAGGGAAAAGTAATTGAAAAAATATTTGAATGTGCAGAAATGAAAGGATTAACATTGGGAATTAAAGAAAAAGAGATTAACATTAGAAATTAAAGAAAAAGAAAAATTTGCATATTACATGGTATGGGATTTGTCTTACCAATGGTTACAGAGAATAAATTAAATTAAAATGGACTAGATGTATTTATAAAGCAACAAGAGAAGCTTGTGAAATAGATATATTGGATATTACTTATATGGCAATGTGATTATTGTTATATTGACAAGAAGAGTATTATTATTAATTGCAAGCATATGAAATATGTACCTAATTGACACATGATTGAAATGGAATGGATTTATTGTATGTAAATATAAATATTAAAAAAAATAGTAAACAGCCCAGCCAAAGAATCTCTGACCCCCTATCCACCCACACAGACAGCCAAGACACCAGAATATAAACTGACAGCAAATAGCTCTCCTTACTAGCACTGATGATATTACCTAGTTGGGTAATGAAGCGTCTGAAAGAAAATAAGCAAACTCAGAGAGCCCCAAGGACCCCTCCTGTCAACCCCCAAGCTACGAAGATTCTCCTTTATTAAACTGGCTAAGGAATTCTGGAAGTTGAAGTCCACAAGTCTTCAAGTTGCCAGCTTTGGAGACCCCCTTGATCTTGACTTAGAACAAGCCCAGTTTCTCCCAGAATTAGCAAACCAGCTCCTCACCTAAATCGAGCAACATGTTATCAGCCGACAGACTGGATCCAAACTCCTCCTGCAGGTTATACGCCCGGTACAGGAGCAATTCCAGCTTGTCTGCAAATTCTTTTTTCTGAGATTCCTGTGGCAAAAACAGGCAGACCTAAAATGAGGCTTCAGTGGCCTTCCGGAACCAAAATCCTGAATGGGAGTTCTTAAGCCTCCGTTAACGTAGCTTTGCAAGAAAAGTAGAATTCGCTCCTCTTGGTTGCCATTCCTGAATGGTTTACCTAGACAGTCTGCCAGGAAATGATCCTGAAAATAAACTTGCGGATTGTATCCATGGAGTCACCTCTAAGGGGAACCTAGATTTTACCAGCTATGGGGCAGCATCTCCTGGATGTTTTGCAGGAGACCCACATTTTTTGGAGGGTCTGTACCTCACAGAGATCTTCAGGCAGCAGCTCTTCCTCTTTGGGGACAACCCAAGAGGCAGAGAGGCTGTAGGGGTCCTTCTGACGGGCGGTCAGGGCCTGCTCCCACTTCTGCAGGGCCTCTTCAAACAGCTCCATGCCTGCCAAGGAAGAGAGACCCCCAAATGACCAGCAACAACTAGATGTGGGCCTCTCCTCTTGGCACCCAGCGTCCCACTAAGCTGATGCCTGTTGGGCTGGGGGATTCTGGGAGTTGAAGGCCACCCATGCTGGCTGGCAACACTTTTACCTTGAAAATAGAGGTTTTCTGCACTGCAGTCTCCAGCAGCACCAGGGTCTTCTCCTCCCATGTGGGCTTCCCAGGGGGGTGCAGCAGCAGGGGTGGGGCTGGGAGAATTCACAACTGCCATCTAGAATGAGAACCAGCAAAATCCCATGAAAACAGGATTATTATCATCTGTCAATCCCCTCAAATGTTCCAGTAAGTGCTCTCAAACAGTACTTATTTGTATCCTGCCTTATTATTATTATTACAAATAACTCAAGGCACTGAATATACCTTATACTCCTTCCTAATTTCCCTACAACAACCCTGTGACCACATAAAATTGAAATTTTCAGGGAGAGAACTCTGGGGAAAATGTTTAACCCAAGAAACGACCTTTTAATCTTTTGAAAAGCCAACTTGAGCTGCCCTTTAAACCAAGAGAAGGCAGGAATTGTGTTGGAAGAAGAGAAAATAGGCGTGTAAGCATTTGAATGGAGTTTTTAAAATGCCCATCCTGCCTTCTTTACTTAAAACAGCAGGCAGTAAGCTTAAAAAAACAGAAATAAAAAATACAGGTGATTTTTTCCAAGCTACAGGACCAAAATACAGCCTCTCCACTTGAATCTCAGGTACAGCAAGCAAGCACTGGTGAAGAGGTCAACTAACCAAGGCCACAAAAATTTGTGCTAGAGGTCAAGTATCGCAGTGACTCACAAACAGGCTGAAGTCCCAGTTAAGCAATTAGTCAAAAACCAAAGACTGCATATTACGGGTTAGCCAGAACAGAGCATTCCCCAAATAAATTCCATGTTACCCTTCGAATATTTTAGCACCAATGTACCACAGCTAGAGTTATGAGGGCATTAAACCTGAATTTAATTACAGCAAGTCTTAGGTTATATTTTGCAATGGTTTTCTGGTGCTGTCTGATTCCCGCTAGCTTAAAATCTTATTTCCTCTCAGTTCCAGCCAATCAATGATGGCTGTTTTGAAGTGGGGGGAGAGGGCGCTTCAAAAAAATTGCAGGAAAATGTTGCATCGTGATTGCCTTCGATCTGACCTTCCCCTCTCATCGTGATCCTTGCCACTGACAATTTTTCACCTCTGCTTATCTGGTTAAGCGCTTGGGGTGGAGATGGATGACCTCCAAAGTCCCAGCCCTTCTAGGATTCTAATGTTACCTTCAAACCACTGCTCTATCGTAACATGAATTGGTATTCAGCTGTTTCTCAGTTCCACCTGATTACAGGTAGTCCTCGGCGTACAACCGTTTGTTTTAGTGGCCAAAGTTACAACAGTGGCCCTGAAAAAAAGGGACAGGGCTGTTTTGCACTTATGTCCATTTTTCACACTTACGGCTTGCAGCATCCCCTCAGTCACGTAATCAAAATTCGGGCGCTTGGCAACGGGCTCGTATTTGTGATGTTCATAAAACGGGGCAAAACTCAGCTAAGGAATGTCTAGCTTAGCAACAGAATTTTTTTGGGGGGGGAGGGTGTCGTAAGTTGAGGACTCCACGCATTTCTTTGCCTTTTCCAAACATGTTTTTTTTTCTGCAGACAGAACAGCCTGTAATTCGACAGATGTTTATAGAAGAAGGAATGCCACTGTATTTATCCTGCACCGGATCCGGGTATAAATAGCCACGGGGCAAAAATACTCCCTATCTTGAACTATTCCAAAACACTTGCAATTATCTTCCACTCACAATTTTCTCGCAGCAGAGGAAGTATTTTTAGCTAAAGGCTGTGGCACAAAACACGCATGCGTCATCGCCTTCAGGGATCCCTCGACGTACAACAATTGTGCCTCAAATTTCTGTTGGCTAATCGTTGACGCTTCTCAAACTTTGTCCCATTTTATGAATTTTCTTGTTGAGTGAATTCCCTGCAGTTGTTAAGTTAGTCACAAGGTTGTTGAGTGAATCTGGCCTTCCCTGTTGATTTTGAAAAAGGGGATCGATCACCTGACACACACACACACACATATACCCTGGGACACTGCAGCAGGCATAAGTACATGCCAGTTGCCAAGTGTTTTGAATTTTGACCCTGGGGATGCTGCAACTGTTGTAAATCTAAAGACGAAGTTGTGGCTTTTGGTCACTAAGTGAACTGTAGGAAGGACTACCTGTCACAGCTGCTTCTTCCCCCACCCTCCCCCTCCCAGGTGGGTCTGAAAGACCCCTCCCCCAAGCATCTCTTACGGAGGCCAGGCTGTGCGAAGAGCTGGAATGCTTGCTGGGTTCCAGGGAGGAGATCCCACTGAGGGTGTCATTGCTTTTGCTGCTGGGGCTTTGCAGTCGACGGCCGGAATAACCTGAAATTAGGAAAAAATGCAAGAAAATGAGAGAGAGAGAGAAAAAAATAAGTTTGCAGTGCACAACGCTAGGCCTGCCTTAGGCATGAAAGCCGACTGGGTGACTTTCAGCCGATCAATGCAGGGATGGTGAATTCTAGTCCCACCTAAGGGACAGAAGCCAGCTGGGTGACTATGAACCCACCACCAGGCGAGCGTGAGTTCTAGTCCTGCCCTAGGTACGAAAGCCGGCTGAGTGACTTTGGGCTACTCATTCTCTCCCAATGTCTCACAAAGTTGTTGTTTCATGGAAAATAGGAGGAACAGCCATATTTGCCACTTATAAAAATAATAAAGGTGGGAGAGAAGTGAATAAAGAAAGGAATAAGAAATAAATTTACCAATGCGTGTTAAAAAAATCTTTACAATCAATCAATAAAAAAAAACCAGGGTGGCTTTCAACGATGGAAGCGTTTGTTCATCCAAATCTGGTGACGTTTGAGAAAATGTAGACCTATAAAGGTATTTTGAATTCCGAAGGGAAACTAAAAATCTAAACAAGATCTTGAAGACCAGGAAGTTGAATTATCGTGGTGGCCTCAACTGCAAATACAATCGACTAAAGATGCGAAAATGTATAGCTTTTATAAAGAACAGACAATCTTCGATCGGATATTGTTGAACTCCAGTGAAAAACCGATGAAGAAAACTATATAACTTTCAGCTCAATTCGAAAATGGAAGATGAACAAGTAGAAGAAACCACGATACGGGGCCCAAAACACTTTGCGCGTGATATAGAACTAGAGAAATGGCAAAATATATGTGGGGAAGAAATTATAAATGAACAATGGCACCTTTGTATGAAGAAAACTTATGTAAAATGCTTTATAGATGGCACCTGCCACCTGCTAGGTTAGCCAACATGTTCAAAAATATGCCTGGCCAAAAAGCTTTGACCGTCATCACCTTTCTTCACGGAGGAAACCCGGCAGGTGGGCAAGATGGGCACTGGAGCCACCAGAGGCTTGGCGCTGGACTTCTCTGGAGCGATCTGTTTCTTCCGTCGCCGCCGCCGCTTTAACTGGTGCGCCGTCAAGGCCAAAGCCACCGTCCCGAGAGCCGTGGCAAAGAGCACTTTCCGTAGACCGGGGGTGACCCTCAACGCAGAGAAGGCCGACTTGAAGAGCCGGAAAAGTAAAACAAGGCAACTTTAGCATCTAGGCCGGGTGTCAGCAACCCGCGGCTCTGGAGCCTCATGCGGCTCTTTGGGCCCTCTGCTGTGGCTCCCTGTTGGGTGATCCCAACGCTGGCTGGTCCCGCCCTCCCCTCCCAGTCACTCCTCGCCACACCTGAGAAGGTAAAATACAAAAAGCAGAAATGGGAGGGAGAGAGACCCATTTCCCACAGAAAACACCGTGAGCCACAAAACCTGAGTAGGTATGGTAGGCAGGTGTGTGTCATATGACTGGGTGGGAGTGGCATTGAGTTGGCCACACCCACCCAGGTTTTGTGGCTCCCAGTGTTTCCTTTTGTGTGGGAAATGGGTCCAAATGGCTCTTTTGAGTGTTGAAGGTTGCTGACCCCTGATCTAGGCTCACCTATCACACCTCTCACCCTAAATGTGTTTTACCTGTCCTTTCTTTTTTTTAATAAAGTTGTTTTCATTTTTAACCACAAACATAAAACAACAAATAAAACCTTTCAATTATACAGTGCGTCGGTTGGCACATATTTCTTGTGCACAATATCCATAGTCTTTTCCTCTTAGATTAAGTTTACATTCACATTATATTAATCAACTTTCCATGTCGTATTATATTATTATTACATCATCATTAGATTTTAATTTCAGATCCACATTATCCTTTAGAGCAAATCTCAGTTCTTACTAATTTTAATTCATATTTTAATTCACTCTATAATAATCAATTATAACATATCATTGCTATTGTATTGTACTTCAATCTCCTACTTTTCCATCTAACCATTGGTAAAAGAAATTCCATATCTTAAAAATATTCTTTTTCTTCTTGCTCTCTAATTGCTAACGTTAATCTACTCATTTCTGCACCTTCCATTATTTTCTTGATCACCTCCTCCTCTATCGGAATTTTCTCGTTTTTTCCAATTTTGAGCAAATACAATTCTAGTTGCAGTTAAAACATTAATAATCAAATATGTCAATTCTCTGTTATAGCCTTCAGGTCTTTTACCTGTCCAAACGTGGTGTAAAGGAAGACGGGGATCTCCGCAACGGTCATGGCCAAAGCCCGGATAATGGACATGCCCTCCATCCTCTGAAACGCCATGTTGGAAATGGGCTTGGGTTGTCGCCAGAGAGGTTGTGCTGTTCATACAGCAGTCCAGCGTCACGCAGGATCCCACCATCAGCCTCCGAAAGTGCATCTATTTCCTGGAGCAGAGGCCAAAAACAAAAAAAACAGTTGGAAAAATGGTGGAAAACTCAAAGAGGAAGAAGACACAAAACTGAAGAACCAGAAGAACGAAAATGTTGGATCAGGTTAATTGTTAAAAGTTCAGGACAAACCCCGTTGGATGAAGATTTATTTACAACGTTTTACAGAAACCCCAGAAGAAAACCAGCAGGGTTTCTGGTTGTATGAGAGATCCGTCTCATTCCAGTTGGTTCTTGACTTACGACGAGCCTGCCCATCACGGCCCTAAGTTGCGGCAGTCGTACATCAGGTCACCCAACTCAATTTTATTTACTTTTGTGTATATTTGCATCCTGCCTTTAGTACTTTTACAAATAACTCAAGGCAGCGAAGATATCCAATACCCCTTCCTCCTGCAAAATGTCTTAATTCTCACAGTATCCCAGTTTGAAATGGGCCATTTCAACAATTCCCTGTGGCTCAGAATGGGGTGTTTTATGCGCAATATGGATAAAAATCATTTTGAACGTAATTAGCCGTGACTTTTGAGAAAGTTTCTGGTTTGCTCCCTGATTACAAAATTCCGGTCCAGCCAGTTCCTCCAAACTGATAAAGTGAAGCTTGCTGTAACCCAAAGGAAGTTTTTGATACAAAACTGCCACTCAAATACCATAATTTTTCTGGTTTAGGATTTTTCCTCCAGAACATTTTTATTCAGGTGTTTTTTTTTCTGCTGTCCCTTCTGGCTGAGAAGCCCCAGGCAAACAGGTGAGCTTAAAAGACGTTTCCTTGCAAAGCCAGGCTTGAAGCATCCAACTCATGCAACAACAACAAAAAAAAATGGCATTCCAGGTAGACTGCTCCTGAACCTGACAGCTCTACTCTTCATTTCCCCAGCTAAGCACTTTTCCTTTTTTTCTTCTTCTTTTCTCAGAGACGCACCTGATTAGCATGCACCGAGCTCGGCTTTCTAGGAGACGGGGGCGAGAGGGCTTGCACACGCGAAACCGGCTGGTGCGTGTGTTTTGCACACCTTGCACTTTTGCTACTACCCTTGTCAGCAAACCCGCCGGGTGCGCATCAATTATGGCAGGGGAAGCAGTTGTAACACAACGCAAGGCGCCTGTATGGGAGAGATTCACTTTCCCAGCTCCGGTAGAAAGCCGGCTATGCAAGGAAAAAGTCATCTTAAAACGTTACAACCCCCCCACAACCCATAATGGAAGAGTCCGCCGCCCGTCTGACCTAAGCCAGGTAGCCAATACCATTCTCCAAATTGGGGGGAGCTCTCACCATACCGCTCCGCTCGCCATGGCTGCAGAAGGACAGGGTCTCCTTCCCGGTTCGATCGCAGCCGCGCAGTCTAGCTTGTCTAATCTCCGCCCAGGGGGCGGAGCGCCGAAGTGAGACCGCAGACTGGCAGACGTCTCAGCCAATTGAAACGGCACCCCGTCTCACAGCGGACCAATAGCCACCCTTCGGTCGCTTTACCTTACTTACCGCAAGACAATCTTGTGCGGTTGAGCAACCAGAGCGGCGTCCTTGTTTCCCAATGGGAAAAGGAGGCGTGGCTTTAGAGCTGATTGGCTCCGGCGCGACGTGGAAAGCGGAGGGGCGGGGCTCTTCTTAAAGGGACAATGCCTTCTGCACTTGTCTAAGAGGTTATGGGGGCATGAAATGAAAATAGGGACTAGAAACATGCATTTCCGCCCTCATTTGAATGAGAAGTCTGTTTTGAACAATATATTAATTGCACTTTAAATTAAAATAGGAATACAAGGTTTTATCTCTGGCTTCCTACCAGACAAACCATATACTGATTTATTTTTACTTTTGTAAGATGCACAAGCCTGGAACCTGAACACCAGTGACAAGACATGAAACCTGGTTTTAGCTGGTGGCTTTAAATCCATCTTTAGGCAAGGTTGCCAAACACGTTCCCATGGCTCTGCTCCCTTTGCAACCAGAGGGCGACCCTCCCTGCCCCACTAACCATTGCAGAGAAGAGCAAGAAGGATGGTTAGGGGGCTGGAGGCCGAAACTTACAAAGAGCTTACAAAGTTGCAGAAATTGGGGGTGTCTGGTTGAATGAATTGAAGGGCGACGGGTGACATGGTGGCATCTTCCAATATTTGAGGGCCTGCCGCAAAGAAGAGTAGGGGGGGGGTCAAGCTATTCTCCAAAGCACCAGAAGGCAGGACAAGAAGCAACGGATGGAAACTAATCTCAAGGGGAAAACAGGCTTAGAACTACGGAGGGATTTCCTGACAGTCAGAACTACTAACCAGTTAGAAGAGTTACCTCCAGGAGTTGTGAGTGGTCCAACACTGGCGGTTTTCAAGAAGAGACTGGACAGCCATTGTCCGAAATTGTATGTGCTGTATGTATATCTCGAACTGTATCCTATTCGAGCAGGGGGTTGGACTAGAAGACCTCCAAGGTCCCTTCCAACTCTGTTATTCCTGACAGTGAGAACAATTCACCAGTGGAACAGCTCGCCTCCAGAAATGGTGGATGCTCAGTCACCGGAGGCTTTGGAAAGAGGCTGAACAGCCATTGATCTGAAATGTTCTAGGGCGGGGGGGGGTGGATTAGAAGACCTCTAGGATCCCCTTCCAAACTCTTATTGATTCTCTAGTCTATTGCAAACGAACGGACGGTGCGTCAAGAGGCTGCGCTTTTACGCGCGGCTTTGGACAGCTCCGGCCGGGTTGGATGCCTTTAAGGGGCTGCTTGGCTGGCTGGCGGGGCGAGGCGAGGCGAGGCGGGGCGTTCCGCGGCGCTCGAGGCTGGCGGCCGTTCGCTGGCGTTGCTCTCCTCCTCCTCCTCTTCCTCCTCCTCCTCCTCCTCGCCTGCCCGCAGCGCCAGCCCAGCCCAGCCGGCTCGCTCTGCTGCGGGGAGAGCCAGCCAGCCGTCGCCCTCGCCGCTTTCCCCACGCCATGGATTTCAACATGAAGAAACTGGCCTCGGATGCGGGAATCTTCTTCACCCGGGCGGTGCAGGTAGATCCGGGATCGGGGGGGCTTGCCAAGCGGGGAAACCGCTTCTTTTTCCCCACCTGGTCGTCTGAATTCGGGCCGTTGCGTGAAGCTGGAGGGGAAAGATGGGGGGGCATGTTTGGGTAGCTTGGCTGATGTTGACACTTGCGAGTCCAACGCGCGTCTGCAAAGGAAGGTCAAGATGCAGGAGGGGGAAGGCAAGGCTGGCTGGCTTCACCCGAGTGCTAGAGAAGCGTGGGAAGGGAAGGCGAAAGAGGTCGTGTTTACCATCCCTTCCCCCTCCCTTCCCAACCCGGGAGCTGACTTAATGCAACATGCTAGGCCAGGCCAGGGAGGATGGGTGCATGGATGGGTCGGGTTGCAGTTGGCTGGTTGGCTGGGGCGGTTGCGTGCTTCGGGGTTGTGTGAACGAGGCCTGCGTGGATTTAAAGGGCGAGCTTCCCATTTCTACAGGTCAGCCGTCAAAGGAGCATCCCAACAGGCTTAAAACCAGGATGTGATGGGGTGGAGGCATCCTGCAAAACCTGCCTTGGAGCCTCCCCTGGGCATCCCTGCTTGTCTGAATGAATACACAGAGAGGTGCTTTGTGTTTTTGTTTTGTTCCTTTGTGTTCCTGCCGGGGTGCGCACTGCACGCAGCTGGATGCTTTCGCCACCAAGGATTAAGCCATCATCCGGCCCTCCTTTGCATTTGGCAACTGAGGATTTCCTCAAGACTCCAGGTGGTGACTGTGCAAACCTTGCTGGACTCTGCATCCGTTTCTCTTTTTTTAGTTTGGGTTTTGGCTGGTGTCTTTGTAAAGGCCTCTTTTCCCAAAGGCTGCAGCAGTCCCAAGGGGAAGCAAACCTTGGAGTGGGAGCATCTCAAACGGAAGGGGGGCCTTGCAGTCCAAACTTGGGGGAGAAAAAAAAAAAGAGGCAGTAAAAATGTCCTGGAATATCACAACCTTTGGAAGAGAATCTGCTGTCCATCTAGGTTGCACCTGATCCTCCAAAGGATGGGACTATTATTTCTGATCACTGGATCGTTGCTTGCTAGATAAATGGACATTTCCCAAAGATTGGGCTCCATTGCAGAAGAAATAAAATATAAAGATATAGAATGAAACATGGCTGGGGTTTGGAAGAAGAGAAAATCTATCTATCTATTTATCTATCATCTACCTACCTATCATCTATCTATCTATCTGTCTGTCTGTCTGTCTATCATCTACCTACCTACCTATCATCTATCTATTTGTCTATCATCTACCTATCATCTATCATCTACCTACCTACCTATCATCTATCTATCTGTCTATCATCTACCTATCATCTATCTATCTGTCTATCGTCTACCTACCTACCTATCATCTATCTGTCGATCTATTATCTATCTATCTATCTATCTATCTATCATCTACCTACCTACCATCTATCATCTACCTATCATCTATCTATCTGTCTCTGTCTATCTATCTATCTATCTATCTATCTATCTATCTATCTATCTATCTATCTATCTATCATCTATCTATCATCTATCTATCTATCATCTTCCTACCTATCTTCTACCTACCTACCTACCAATCTAATCTAATCTAATCTAATCTAATCTAATCTAATCTAATCTATCTATTATCTGGTGGGAATTCTATGTCCCAGCTCAGGCTCTTTTCTGACTTGCTAATAAGGTGACTTGATGTGTCTGCTAGAATACCTTGTATAAACGCCACGTCCAAGCAGGAAGCCAATCCTCCTCCTGTTGATTCTGAAAGCAAAACAGGTTTCTCCTTTTCTTCTCGACTTGCTCAGCCATAAAACCACACCAGGTTCCGGCTTCTCCCTGTTGCATCTTGCGGGGGGGAAAAAAAAAATGCACGCTAAAGATGCCTCCAGACAGATGGTTCTCAGAGTTGCCCTCCAAATTATTTACTGCAGATCGATTCTGATTTTCAAGATGTCACAACTTCAGGCAGCTTCAGGGATGATAACTGTGGATGAAATTGCAAGGTTTTGTTTATTGCGATGTATATTTGGTGGGCTGTTATATTTTTATTATACAGCAATGTAATTTTATATTTCATTTAACATGTATTCACACCGT